TGGGTTAGGTTGGGTTAGGTTGGGTAGGGTTGGGTTGGGTTGGGTTTGGGTTAGGTTGGGTTGGGTTGGGTTGGGTTGGGTTTGGGTTAGGTTGGGTTGGGTTAGGTTGGGTTGAGTTGAGATGGGATGGGTTGGGTTGGGACGGGTTGGGTTGGGTTGGGTTCGGTTGGGTTTGGTTGAGTTGAGATGGTATGGGTTGGGTTGGGTTGGGTTGGTTTGGGTTGGGTTGGGTTGGGTTGGGTTAGGTTGGGTTGGGTTGGGTTGAGTTGGGTTGGGTTGGGTTGGGTTTGGTTGAGTTGAGATGGTATGGGTTGGGTTGGGTCGAGTTGGGTTGGGTTAGGTTGGGTTGGGTTGGGTTGGGTCGGGTTGGGTCGAGTTGGGTTGGGTTGGGTTAAGTCAAATAAGAATATATATACTTGAGAGAATTGCAAAATTATTGTATCGTTATATTTTTACATGTAAAAGCTTAAAATCTCAAGTTCCTATTGTTGAATCTTTGTGATTTGTTACAGTTGGATTCTCCAGACAGTTGTTACTATCACACAGACAAAGTACAAATTTATCTTGGAACAATCTGAAGATATTACAAATACTAGAGTAAATAAACCGATTTCTAGTGCCACCTTCGAGAAGAAAATGCCTGATTACACATTTTTTTTTCATTTGAATTTGAAAAGTTGAGGGTGCTAGAGCTAACACTCTGCACTTATTGGCTATAAAACTTATTGATTTTTCCATAACATTTCTCTAGAAACTTTTTCTCACCACTATATGATTATCAATCCTGGAATAGCCGCCACGCTAGATTAAAAAGGACTTTGAAATATATAAGGAAACATCTAAAATTCATCCGGTTGAGATTGAACAAGATCGCATAAATGGGAGATTAAATTGATCAAACACGATATTAAATATGCCTTACTTTTTGTTGATACAAAATATGAAATGAATATTAAATAACTAGTTGTCACACTAAATCCTACGAGGGATTTTTTACTGTTTGATGTGTAATTCTGTTAAAATATGGCAGATTGAGCTGAAATATTGATCATTTTATTCACTCATTGTCGTCAACTGTTGTTCAAAATACCAGGATCAAAGAGTTTGTCTTGCATGAAAAAGAGAAAAAAAGTGTAAAAATGTCATGCAAGACTATCATGTGCGTAACTACGCCACTGCTGAAGCGAAAATAAGCACATTTTATATATCAATTCATTTTATATTTAGATTGCTGTTAAGAGTCATGCAAATGAATGCTAGGCTATGTCTCAGACGTTAACTGATTCACAGAAGAAGGTCACTAATTATGTACATTCTATAGTTAACTGCATATTTGAAAATTTTATAATCTTGTAAGTGTAAAAAAACCAAATATAATTGAGGACGAGCCATGCTGTTTCAGGTGCTACTTCTAGATGAAGCATGCTGCCTCATTAGAAAGAAAAAACTCAACGTTAAAATATAAAGTGCTATGAAGTTATCCAACTAAGGCATTTACTGCCAAAGTCATATGCCTGTTAATTGAATCTGTGATTTTACAAAGAGATTGTTTGTAGCACTAGTAAAATATCTTTTACAATATATAGTTGAAGCATATTATTTTGTTATTGGTTTCAAAGTTCGTCCAATATCACTCATTTGATGGAGTGATGCGTTCAAACGATATCGCTGGAAACTAGATTAACTTCCGGTGAACCTTTAGTAGGAGTTATCGGAGGTATATTTATATACATGTAATGCTTCCCTCTTACAACTCATAAGCAATCAGATTTACTTTGCACCCACATTGAGAGAGTTGTGATGTGAGCCGCTTATAGGCACCCACATTGAGAGAGTTGCGGTGTGAGTCGCTTCTTGGCACCCACATCGAGAGAGGTGCGATGTGAGTCGCTTCTAGGCACCAACGTCGAGAGAGTTGCGATGTGAGTCGCTTCTTGGCACCCACATCGAGAGAGTTGCGGTGTGAGTCGCTTCTTGGCACCTACATCGAGAGAGTTACGATGTGAGTCGCTTCTAGGCACCCACATCGAGAGAGTTGTGATGTGAGTCACTTCTTGAAACCCCCATCGAGAGAGCTGTGATGTGTATCGCTTTGTTGCTCGCACTCTTTGGGAAAAATGCCTCTAATCAGATGAAAAGGTTTTAAAAAGGGATGAAAAATCGTTTATTTTATCGATTTTTCATATACTGTGTTTCGGTTCTACCCAGTCAAAAGAATAATGGGAAAATGGTCATTAAAATGCATTATTATTGGTTGACGCACCATTTTGACCATTAAAATGCATTTTCGTCAAGTGAATAATGGTAAAATAGCCATTAAAATGCATTTTGGTAGACAAATGAATCATTTTGACCATTTATAATGCATAAATTCTGTTTTTCAATATATTGACTATATTTACTCTAAAGTTTGCGCTTAACTTCATGCAAAACGCTTCAAGAAAATGATATATTTTTATCATCTACCACAATTAGATGTAAGTGTAGACAATCTGAGATCAATTGAATCCTGAGAATTTGTAAGGTTTAGAAACTCTAAAATATCTTAAAATTATAGACTAAAAATTAAGCAGCTGATTGTAAAATGTTTATTTTCACGAATAAAATAACTTATGAGGATTCCTTAACATGTGGATATTGGAAAAAAATAAATGTATTCAATTTTGACTGGATTGAACTGTAAGTTGGTCGGAAAGCCAATTTTTGAACGACATTAGATGGATCAATTATGACGGTTGAATCAGAAAGGACTGTACCTTGCATAATATTGTTACATTTAAACGTTTTTTCTCGAAGATTGAGTGTGTCTGCAGCAGAAGTAATTTTTACTTGATTTAAAAGAAAATAAATTTCGTTTTTGTCCACCACATGGCCAATACATAAAATAAATCCAATCGAGTACTGGTTTTCTCTTGATTCGTACAGAACACAAGCATCATTTGTATGTTGAATCGCAGTGAAATCATCAGCGCTAAACCTCAAATTATTAAGAAACAAAGTTTTGTATAGTGTAATGTTAGAACGAATCGAATGCGGCCATAAAGAAATGAGATTAGAGGACGATGATAAAATTTTTTTATAAAGCTTCACTTTAGGTGTAACATTAACATCGATAGATGTAATCTGACGACACGATAATGAAATTCGGCAAATATATTCTCTGCCTGTCATCGAAAATGTTGAGGAAGAAGCAAAGAGTGATGATTGTCGATAAAGATCTATGTTCTTTATCAACTCTGCTGCTGTTGTTGATTTACCATGAACTGTTCGAAGGAATGATGCTATATATATATGTATATAAAAATATCATTTAAAGAAAGAATCAGCAACAGACCCATCGACGATTCAAATGAAAATGTAGAATAGTTGAACATAGGTCCATAATTACATACACAGTCGTAGAAATGACGTATTGAATGGATTACTGATACTATGTGTCGATCCTAATTAGAAAAAATAATTGTAAAAAAAACAGTTATCTTGTTTTACACTATAGAGAGAGGCAAATCTTTTGTCATAGTAAGTAGCTAAGAATTGAATGTCTTTAAATTCAGAGATGGACAAATATTGACTTTCCACTAAATGAGCAAGAAACGCCAACGCTTTTAAATGATGATAACGTTCCGTTTCAAGTATATTTTCGAATATTCTATACGACAATGAAAAATATAACATATTTATAAAGTAAAAAACTCACGAATAACCGAAAAGAAGAAATATCCTAAACTCATTCCCTTTGAATTTTCTGAATAATCGAATATCTCTTGGTTGACGATAGGTTGTTGATGGATATGATATTGTATTGAAGGTTTTCGCAACAATGTCAATTTGATCATGAACACTCATCACATTGGTAATACCAGCTTTCGAAGATGGCTTCGAAAGAAGCAATTTTAACATTTTAGCCTACATAAAATATATTAGGAGGTTGAAGAATAATAAAAGAAAGTGTTACTGTTGCACCAAGATACAAGTTATGAAGAGTATCACATAAGAAAGATTTATAAACATCAAAATGTGATAATTGTCGAAGTGCACATGCTCCTTTAAGACCTTTTAAATATCCAATACTTGCTTCTTCTGAAAGAACTTTGTCACAGTTTGGCAGTTTATGATCCTAAACACATGCTTTATAAAATTTTTGAAAAACAAAATGAAACAAACATTTTCAAAGAAGGTGATCGCTTTATCATATGTTTCATTCGATCTCAACATGATTTTTTTCTCTCGAATTGAAAACAAACGAACGAATTGTGGTTCCACCCGCTTTAACTGATTTACCTATAATAACCAAAAGTGATATGAAAACAATTATGAACTTAATCATGCAGAACGAAAATAAAAGTCAAATGATTTAATTGAAGATATGTAAAATATCACTAATTTTCTATTATTTCTTCCATCAAGTATTTAAGAAAAATACTTTTTTAAACTATCATAAGTGAACATTTTTTAATGTTTGTGCTTGTTTAAGATCACCTTTTATTGTACAATATGTGCAACCATAGAAGCCGGTGGATTCTTTATGATTCAACAAAAGTGAAGTAGCAGGTTTATCACAAGTACAAGCCAGTAAAAATATTTTTATCATCTGTTCTGAATCATTTTCATTATCATGACGAAAATAAACACCTATTCCTTCTTCAAGACGACGCAATTCATTAACCATATCAAACATAATTTCGGACATTTCAATTTTTTTGGGTTTCATACCACCTATTGTTAGCATTCCGAGTACAACATTTTCTGGAAGATATCTTAATTTTCGTGGTAATTCATTAATGACCAATGTGGTTATCCACACAGATGCCGAAGTTGCTTTTACTAAACCACCGTCCGAATTCATCAGTAGAGTTACGAATGGCTGCCGTTCCACTTCAAGTATCTTTTCATATATTAAGCCGTCGGTAATGTCTGAAAGCACCTGTTTATTAGGTTTTCTTTTCATAATTGGATTTCGTTCAATTATTGATCTAATTTGCGGTTCAAGTGCGAAGGTATAATTCATTGTAGGTACTCGAACAAATGAAGATTGAGAGTCACAATTCGGAGTACCGGTACACATTTTCGAACTCGATGATCGTTTGAAACACGAAGGACATATAACTGCTTTACTTGGAAATGTAGTTGATCGATATGCACAAAGAATTAAAGATTCAATATTGGTAAAATTAAGTGGAGCATTTGGCACCCGTAATAATTGTAATAATTCGCAAATGTGCGTAATGCACGATCGTGTGAGCGAATGCCGATAGCGTAATTCAACAAGTAAAACAGCAATCTCTTTTGAGGTTAAAGATTTTGCAATATCTTCTAATTCATAACTGGAAGACAGTGGTGCACAAACATCGTCTATAACATCGATATTGATTGAATTAAAATCATCATCGTCAATCGAACAGGTAGAAAAATTATTCGAACTACAAGAATATTCTGATGATATTGACGAACAAGAAGAAGTAGAACAAGAACGACTTCTGTTGGATGGTGAAAGATTGGGCACATTTGGTGATGGTAATGAATGTAATGAAAATGGAATATCAGATGCAGAATATAATGATGAAGATGCGTCAGCTACTGGAACACGTGCACCAGCATAACTAACAATCATAAATCATAATATTGTTTCAATAACTAAATTTGTACCGACCTCACCTCAAAGTATCAATTATAGATTGTAAGGCTGCATGTCGCCGATATGAGTGTGCTAATCGCTGATTAAACCGAGATATTCTCTTTCGTATTGAAGACATAGTAATGAATTATATCCTTCGGCTGAATTCTATGCACAACTTTTTGTTTTACTTCAGCAAAGAAATACTGATATTTTTCTAATTAACTAAAACCAGTTAAACCTGACCAACTTAAAATATAACTTAATATCAAAAGAGAAAGAAGAACTAATAGATACGATCGAATAAGGCAATACCAGCGTTTGAAATATAAGCACCAATAACAAAAATAGTACGTGACTAATATTTAATAAATAATAGAATCACGATACAGTGATAGAAGATAACTCTTCTGATCAAAACGAATAATATATATCTAATGAATTTATTGATATCTAAAAGGTTCTATGTCTAGATTATCTAAATTGATTATCAATTTTTATTCAAAAAAATCCATGTACCTATATAATAAAGAGAATAACTTTTATTATGTTGTTGTAATTTTATTTAATTTATTTCAGTTCGAATGAGTTTCAATGACACGTACTTATATACACACTTTAACATAAGAACACTTCCTGAATCATAAAAAAGTATTAAACTAAGAGAGATTTAAACGAAAAAAAAAATGATCATATTAATATCTTTAATATACATTGGAAATATAAACACTGACAAGAATAAATAAAAATAAACAACAAACAGTATTAAAGGAGGAAGTGTTAAGTACAAAAGACAAAATTTAAAGAAACATCATGTTATTAATATTTACAAATATAAGTTCACAACTTGTTTTTTTTTATTACATACGATGAAATTTAGATAAAACCTAAAAAATATAGACATAGAAAAAGTAATGTAGTATTCGCTAAACTTACTTCAGCCAAAACAATATTCATTTATCATATGTTATTCATATCGTTGTTTTCGTGGTTCATTTGTAGTTGAAAAACTGCTGCTGCTGCTATTTGTTGCGTGTTGGCTTTTTTCACACTATGTCGAGCACAACGAATTGAATTTCCGATGGCTTCCTTTAACATTGTTATTGTATAGGAACATCCTGGAGAGCAACGTCGTGCGAAAACTACAACAAAATTTTGTTATTCATTCAATGAAGATCTTCAAGTTATCATATTTTTTCCCTCATTTTATATGAAAAAAAAAAGATGCACAACATAACTTACCGAGTATATCGTCTAATAAATTTGGATATTCTGTTGTAACATAAGCCACATTTTTTAAATCTTCTTTACTTTTATTCGTAGAAAATAGAGCATTAAATACGCGTAACGAAGCTTTTTGTGGATCAATATTTGATAATGACATTAACGTCGCTTCTGATAAACCTAAATCACCGGCTAATTCAGCATTTGTTCGTCTGTCTTCATCAGCTTCAATGGTCTTTAATGAATGTAACAATTGCTCAAGAAATAAACGTCCATCAACGCTTGGTCGAGCTGAAGAAAAAGACAATAAAACAAAATGAATGAAATGGAAAAAATTTCTACATACGAAATGAAGTTTGTTGAAGCTGTTTCATTCTTAATGTTAATGCTTTGTAATCTTCAAGCCAAGCTTCATTTTCTTTTGATACACGTTCAAAATTTCGTTTCAGATCACGATATTCTGGAAATGTTTCCAAAATTACAAGATTATTCGATTTAGTTTGAACACTGGATAAAGACCGGATCGAAGATGATGTTTGAATTTGTGGTAAAACACTAGCCACACTACAATTTATGGGAGTTTGTACACTTTTCACTGGTAGATCTGATATTTTTGAACAATTATCAGTATTTGAATGAGATAATCGACTAAGTGCAGTATCTTTCACATTATATGATGAAGATGAATCACTAGTTGTGCGAACATTTCTAAATTATTTGAAATATGGAATATATATCTATCAATAAACAGTGCATACTTATCACTTTTTCTTGAAATGCACAAAGGTGTTGAACTGTAATTAGTATTGTTCTTGACTTTGGGTGTATTAGACATAAACATTTTACAAAATTCATCATCTTCATCATCATTAGTGTTGATGGAAAGACGTGTTGAAGGTTTTAATTGAGGTTGAGGACTTGGACAAATAGAAGATTCACTCATTGAAGCAGATTCTACTTCAATTGAATCGATATTAATAAGTGAATCAACACTCATTGACTTAACACTTTCGTTCACTGAACCTGCAAAAACGTTTCGTACATTAAGACACATGAAAAATAAAATAAGCAATGACAACTCACTATTTTCTGTAATGGTTTCATTATTGGCTTTCTTATTTTTCTTCACAATAGGTTTTGTTTTAATTGTCTTCTTCATTTGGTTTTTTTTTAACGATGACATAGCATCAATTGTTGTTTCATCATTTCTGTTGACACTAGCAACTCGTTTACCAATACATTGCATAACTTGTCGTGGAACATTATCATTTCGCACAGTCTTTCGTTTAGGAGCCATAAGATAAATAGCAGACAGCAGCAGATTACCAAATAAAAAATAAACAATGATATGTGTATGTGTATTAAATGATGGTAAGAAGAAAGTGTATGTATGTTCACGATATGTATCTCTATTTATAGGGAGAAGAAAAGACTAAAACGTAATAATATGGTATACCTCGACGGATTAAAGTAATAAAGAGAGAGAGAAACAATAGAGAGAATGCGATTACATGTATGTATATCTCCAATGTTATATACATCCAGGGAAAGTGATCGAAAGAAACATATATCTAGAAATTCACTTTGTGATATCACAAAGAATACCACATTTACCTCGAATCAAGGGTTATTATATCTTTAGTTCTTATAGTGCATATTTCAATTGTTGATATACATCATATGCAAACTTTATTTTAAAAAATGACTAACATAGCTATCAAGGTTTCAATTTAAGAAAAAACTAAAATTTTCGTGATTTAATTATTTATGAAAGAAAAAAAGAACTGTAGACATTTATTTTAAAATATAATTATATGTAGATACTATCGTATTTCCACTATATGACATTATATATACATATATGATCTTTTTTTCTGTCATCAGCGACACCTATATATAATTTTTTCCATTACTTCATTTTTATTGGTCGACAGTTGTCTTTGTCATCTAACACAGAAGTAACAGAGAGAACAAAGGAAGCAGAACAGAAGTTCAAATGATATATATGCACGTATAGATATAGGAAGTAGATGTATTTTACAAAGATTTTGCTTTTGCTTCAATAAGTCTATCAAGACAAGTGAAGGAAAAATTATAACAAGAAAATCTAAATTTGTATTCAAAGAGCGCCTATCGACGTTTTAACAGTTGAGTTTCTAATCTTTTCTTTCAATACATGTAAATATTTGAAAAATATTCTGTAATAATGTATACATCACTTAGTCATAATTCACCGTCCAGTATGTCAAACAGTATCTTTTAAACTGCATCTTGTTCTCCAAAACCCTGAAAAAATCTTTTTCTTTGAATAATGACTATTTCTCACATATACATTATTAGTATTTACTAACTTTCAAGAATTTCGTATTGAGTGATTTGAGCTAGTTATTTATGTATATTGTTTTAATGCAAATAGAATTTCGAATGATGATGCGTTTCTTGCATCTTTTGATACTGAAGAGAATGATTGAAACTTCTGTGAGATAAGAGTAATGAAAAAACAAAAGACTTAATAGTACCAGAAGACTTCGAGTTTTACAATTTTAACTAGGAGTGATATATAACGAAAAAGATTCAAACAGCTGCAGTTTACATGAAAAGATGTGATATTCAAATTTATTTAGACATTTAGGTCATAACTGTGCCCTATTGAAAGTGATTGATAGAACAAGAGTGGAATATTTTCGTTCTGTATTTCTTTTCCAACTAAGTACAAGAAGATGTCATAAGTAAGTATGTAAATGAGTATCTAGAAATATGATTGACTTCCAAGCAAATAATAATTATTCGAGAGTTCTGTTCGTAACAAATATGAAGTTTTCTTTTGAGACAATACATTTTGTATCGTATTCCTGAAGAGTCCTAGAGTTACTGTGAGCACGTAAATTTTTATGATTCTATATCTAAAATCCGTTTTCATGAAAGTGTTGATTAGCGAAAAGTGTTTTCACGATATTCGTTGAAACAGAAGATTAATTATCAATTTCACTTTCCGTTTAAGTACAACTAACGCTCGTATTTCGTCTACTTTCCATCAGCTATAGCGATATACAAATAATATGATAGATTGTTATTTCAAATCTTAGACTTCCGTTTTTTTTATGTATGTCCTTTTTTCTTCAATACAATAATGTCATTCAAAACAAATAGATGTTCGAAATGAAGAACTAGTATTCATAGTTTAAATTGATGGGCGGATGTTAATCAGAAGTATCACACGATGAGTTGAAAGTAAACCGTGCAGAGAAATAATACGCATATTCATTCCTTACCATGCGCTCAAGAAAGAAACACTGCTAAATTTCTGTGAAGATGCATAAATGAGATTATACGAAGCGACTAAGCCCTTTCCTCGAAACAAAAATCGTCGATCATCATCTTTTCAAAATTTGATTTAAGACATTACATGAGATTGAGTTGAAACTTTGTGTACATAGTGGAGATATCTTTCTCTCACAATATCCTCTATTTCAGTTTTATTGCTTTTTATCTTACAGAAATATCATAATTTATCACATTTATAAGACTAATTGTTAGAGAGTTCCGTATCTTCAACGAACTTCAGCTCATGAGCTGAATTTCGTTGAAGATGCGGAACTCCTTAACAATTAATCTTATATGTGTAGTAAATTGTCATATCTCTGAAAGATGAAGAGGAATGAAACTGAAATGGAGTATACTACGAGAGACATCCCCACTATGACCGCAAAGTCTCAACAGAGTCTCATGTAATGTGTCGGAAATCATATTTTGAAAAGATAATCATACATGATTTATTTCGAGGGAACGGCTTATAAGAAAATTTAAAAAAATAACTATAGTGCAAGGTCACACAATTATTACGCTTTTAAAAAAATGGTGTAAAATGGTCACAAATAATGCAAAAAAATGGTTTTATTTGTAAACATTATTTTTCATAAAAATTAATCATTTTATCTTCATTAAAGTAATCATTTTAATGCGTAAATGAGTAGGCATTATACAGGGTTGTTTGTGACAGTTTTTTACCATTAAAATGATCGAAATTTTCGATCATTTTAATGGCATTTTAGCGTTGTAAATTTTGGCTGGGTAATAGAAACCAATAAATACAGCGGAAATTATTTGTTTTTCCCGTATATTTTTGGTTCGAAGAGATCAAAATTTGTTTATCAGGAATGTAGTACCATCGATTCACTTTTTAAGTTTTATCGATTTTAAATGAATGAAATGTATAGAAATCGATTGAATTTGTGCGTTTTCTGATTATCTTTGACTATAGTCGATTTTTCATTTTTTGAAGTCGATGAAAGATGTATTAGTTGTGTCGATGTTCAACGCAATTCGATTTGATTTGATTTTAATTTGAGTACAGGCGTGATTCTTTTGATTGGATATCGAGACGGACGAGTCATATACCTCCTACAAAAGGTTTCCCGGATTTTAGTGAAGTTTTCGGGGATACTATTTGAATTCATCATGTCTTAAATCGACCCTACTCAACTCAAACCTAAATTAATCTTCAACCTCTGTTCTATACATATCTCAGACCATAATGGGTCTTATTTTATGATTCAATCCGACTCAACCCAACCCAACCCAACTTGGGTGAGTGTGGGTGGTGTGGGTGTGGATGTGGGTGTGGGTGTGGATGTGTGGGTGGATGTGGGTGGAGGTGGGTAGAGGTGGGTGTAGGTGTGGGTGTAGGTGTGAGTGTGAGTGTGGGTCTGGGTGTGGGGTGTGGATATGAATCTTCTCTGCACCCACACCCACACTCTATTTATTTTTCGTAATTCAGGCAGCTGCCTAAGTAGAACAAGAAAACAAATTATATGATCTAGATTAAATTAAGCGATATACGAGAAAGAAATCGATAGAGATATAAAGAGAACAATGAACTG